TGCAACCCATGGTGCCGCTAGTCTTCGAGGCCGCCTTATTTTGGCCAAGTGTCTAGGGAGCAAGAGAGCTGCGTCATTAGTTGTCGCGGATGCGAGTATAAATACACGAATGCTGCGTCAATGCTGGATATGAACTCGGTTCTAGTCACAAGTTTCGCACTAAAAGAGATGCGCAAAATATGGCGGCCGAATATGGTACCCGGCGGTGTTTTGAAAAGAGTTAACAAAAGCGGTCGAAAGAATATTCCGCGTCAAGGTTTTATCTGGTGAAAACGAGACAGGCATAAACAATGCAAAATTTAGCAAACACAACGCTGAACTTCAGAGCAATAACGGTATATTAAAACGATTTTCAGAAGTTTCGTTTTGAATTCCGGCGTAACGGGCCTCGCATTCACAGTTTTACAGCCTCAGAGCTTAGCGGAATTAAGGAACAACTAAAGCTTTTTTTTTTTAATTTACGATACCCATTTTCTTACAACCCTACCGTGGAAATACGATTTATCTTATGTGAGTAACAAGTCCCATATCACATGTTTTGGCTGTGTTTAAATACTGCCGTCTTGTAACAATGTTTTTTTGTTCTTTTTATTAGGCCGTCAAAGACGAAGGAGCACCCCTGGACAACTGTTGGGGTTTCGTTGAGCGCGCAGCACGCCCATATGCCGTCCATCAAAGAATCAGAAGCCATACTTTTCTGACCACAAGACTCGTCGTGAACTCCGAGGCAGTGATGTGCGCAGACGGCATAATTTGTCAACTGGACGAACCCTACGAAGACAATGGGTATGATGCACAAAATCTAACTTTTTTGTTTATTTTCTTGTTTGGCTTAATATTAGAACGCCTAAACTCATCAATTTGAATAATATTCAAGCTTTTGTACTGAGAGAAATGCTTGTTCAACTTTGCTGAAAGGCATCTAGAAATATTTGAATAAAAAACATTTACTAACGACTGCCAATTTACTTCTCAGATGTGCGTGGGAATATTGTATTTACCCAAATTACAGTGTTACTGTTGACTTTAGCATTGTAAAAGTAGCCTGTGTTGCGTGGCCTTTTGTTGCAAGAAAACACAGTAGCAAAAGTGAGGCTGAAAGCAGGCTGGAGCTCCAGCCGAAAACGCACTTTCCAAAAAAACAAAAGAAATGAAAAGAGGTGTAGCCAAGCAAAATGGTTTCATGTCATCCCCCAAGCCAGATACGCACACTGCGTTCCACTGTTAATACGAACACGATAAAATCGCTTTTATTTGCAGTTTATTTTTTGACAGCTATTGAGACAGCTGAAATTTCGTCGCTCAGATGAGTGCCCCAAACGAGCGCTTTATTCCATATCAATTGGTTGACGTCAGTCCCTCGAATTTAAGGTGAAAAATAAAAGCAGGATATTGATTGTTCCCGTTAACGGTGTCGCGTAGTGTACATAAACACTAAGGTACCCTATCACAAACCGAAGCATGCGAAGTAGAAAAAACTCATTTAGTTGGAAAAACAAAAAAGTATAGATATAAATATAGCACTCACATTCGCTAATTTGCACTCTCTTGCTAACAATATATGTGTCCGTTTGCCGACTGCTCGCATAGAAAACTCGAGCCCGCTGGCTTAGACAAGGCAGCACCTGTTCCCACCGTTCAGGGGCCGTGAAAGCATTGCGGACAGCGATTTTCCGAAGCAGCCAGACATTCTCGACCACCGTAAAACGTGTTTTCGTTTTTTCTTTTTTTTTTTTCTTTTTTTTTTAGGACGTTGTTTTATACTTCGTTTCAGCTTCGGTCCGAGCGCGGCCGATGTTATGAGCCGAAGGGCCAATCAAACAGCGAAAGAGGCACAACGTCCCATGGCGTGCTTTCTGCAGTTGATAGGACCAGCCGGTATTCGCCGTCTCTCTGTGCGTGCTCTTCTGCCGACTAGTTCTATAAAGCGCAGAGAGCACGCCATGACGCTGCGCTTTTTGCGTTGTATGATTGGCCTTTCGGCTCATAACATCGGCCGCGCTCGGACCTAAGTTGAAACGAAGTATAGGCAATGTCTGCGCAGCCATCTTAGTGCTGCGAGGTTCATAACGGTGAAGCCCACTTCCAAGCATGCTTTCAAGTGGCGAGCCATCCATTTCGAATTCCCTTCCAGAAAAACACCATCTACGGAAGCTTTACTGATAGTGGAACGCGCTTCCCAAAAAGGCGAGGAAAGCGGAGCTGACGCTTCACGCTCAAATCCCAGAGCGGGTCGCGCTTGCGCGATAGCGACCCCGCTTTCCATAGAGCGGAGCGAGAAAGCGAAAGCGGTCTACTAAAACTCTCTATTATCTCGTGGAAGCACTGGGAATACTTCACAAGTTGACTTTTCCAGTTACGGTCACAAACGAATGTCGTCCCGTCCGTTGTAATCCTCGCACCGTCGAATGCACAAGCACTTTGTAGAACCACATATCAATTGCCGTCATGCCGGACCCCGCACACCACAACAGACCACTGCCGGCCATCGTCAACAAAACCACGTGATCCCCGTCCAAGTACCACGTGACACCTGCGCCGCTCCGCACTCCGACGGCTACCCACGGAGTGCTAGGGAGCGCTCTGAGAGGGAGAGGAACCCTTGGGATGAACCAGCCGATCAGGCCACAGCACTCTCTTTCAACCACCCGATCTCGCGCGCTTTGGAAAGAGTGCTCGGAGCGCGAAGAAAGAACCACGCGAATTCGCCATAAATGCTTGCCTGTAGCGAGGATTTCGCATGTTTTGCTGTTGGGGTATCGGCCAGGGTCGTCCTCTGCAGGTGACCTGTGGAATGTTTTTCTCACCACAGGTGTCCGGAGTTGCACTTTAAAGGTTTCCTCTACTTCCTTCCTGTGGCGTTTCACTTTGCTTTTTTGAAGTTTCAACTTGGAACACATACCTGGAAGAGTTTACCTCTGCCGCCTCCGATGTTGCACGTTTACCTTTGGGAAATCGAGTGGCATTTACCGAGGGAGTGCGGGTCGCTGCGGTAGTGGGCGATAACGTGACGCTGCCTTCGCCGTGAGATTTTACGTGAGATCGGTTCTCCCCGCGGCGTCTGCTGTACTTGCATCGCTTGCATGGTCCGTTGCGGGCTTCGCCAGATCCGTCACAAATCCTCCACTAGTGTGCATCGGCTTCGGAAGGATCAACTGATCTTGAGCTTTAAATCCACCTTGTTTTTAGAAATCGCCAATTCGAGACGGCTGTTCTTGGGGTTATGGCAGTTCGAAAGAGCTCAAAAGGGCATCCAGCACACACTTTCAGAATGTCGACATAGCTCAAGAACCATCTCAATTTTTAGAGGTTTGATAGCCATGGCTGAGTCGTTCTTCGACTCCAATACCTTGTCTCTGGCACCAACTTTTTTCCTATGCTGACAACCAGAAATATATTCCTTTTGAATGCGACAGCCCTTATCACCGAAACTACCCCAGACAGCACTTGTACATCACCAGGATGTCCTCAGGACACCCTTTTGAGGACATTATAATGTCCTGAGGATGTCCTCAACATCCTAAAAACGTCCTATTGTCCGGCCTCAGGACATCCTCAGACCGTCCTCAGGAGGGCAGCCAAGGATTTTTCTAATACATTTTTAGGACAATGCACTGCAGGTGCAGCTGTTCACTGAGCTGTTAGGGTGCTTTCAATTTTATTGTTTCTAGGCTTTCTACAACTGGATTTTGAACCCGAAGATGCCCGCAAGAGCTGCCTGCAGAAAAAAAATGCATTGTTGTGCACTATTTTAAAGTGAAATTTACACACTAACTTTAGATTACTAGTCAGTGAGAGGCTAAGAACACAGGGAAAAGAGGAAGAAAGCTGGCGGAATGCTGGAGAGGAGAGAAGAAAACTTCTCCCCTCCAGCATCTTGTCGGCTTTCTCCTCTGAGTATTTCCTTGCGCTATGTTCTTAGCCTGTAACTATGAGCATGATCGTGCCATTCATTATTGCAAACAAAGGTAATTGTTGAAGAAATACTTTATTGGAGAGCAAATGTCTGCTCCAGACGTGCAGACTGGCTTCGCATCTTGGCCAGCACTAGTCCGAATAGTCAGCGGGATCTACAAAAAAAAAATCAATTCCATAAGCATTAATAATAAAAACAGGTAATGTGAGAAATTTACCATAATTTCGAACACCTCCGGCCTTTCACTGCAGCTTTTTCAGTTTCTCTCCAGCGTGGCGCAGCCATACTTTGATGATGGCCTCCACGTCAGCTTTGTTTGCGCACTCAACATTTGATTTTACTGCTCCTAAAACATTGATTTGTAATGACAGTCACAGCAGAGAGCTAAGATGGTCTAGAAAAAAATCACAATTAATGTTCCTGCGAGGAAGATACCCTTGCTGCCGAGTCTACTTTCGCACAGTTGAAAAGCTCGAAGCATTCGTTTACGCGCCGGCATCTTTCCGGCCGAAATTGCCGTTCATTGCTTTCCCCCATTTCGAAGAAGTACTGCAGTTAAAAACACACTAACCTTTGTCAGTGCCTTGCATTGCTACCGTCATCAATTTTGATGGAACAGCGCGGATATACAGACTCGCAGCGCTGACTAACAACTCAGTGATATATTTCTTCTTCCTCAAATCGCCATCATCATCTCCTTCGCCGTTAATGAGAACATTTTAAATTTTTAAACACAAGAAACCAAATAGCCAATAAAAATTAATAAGTAAATAATAAATAAATAAATAAGAGCTAAAAATAAATAAACTAAGAAAATTAAACACAAAACAAAATAAAGTTAAAAGAATATTTTTAGAAAATAAATTCCAAATAGAAAATTAAACTTAAAAAAATATTTCTTTTAATTTTTAAAGTTTTATTTCTTTTTAATTGTCATTTATTTATTTATTATTTATTTATTAATGTTTTTTGGCTATTTGGTTTCCGGTGTTTAAAAATTTTAAATGTTCTCAATAACGGCGAAGGAGGAGAAGATGACGATATGGGGATGATGATGATGATGACAACATTTAATTTGCCCATAGATGGGGTCAGGGAAGGGGGAGTGCTGAGAGAGCCTCCCCCTCTCCCCCCTCAGTCGGCGGCCAGGAGTTCTTGTTCCTTGGCGGCGGCCTCGGCCATCTGGACCAGACGGACCTGTTCACCCGGGTCCGAGCTGAGCAGCACGGTCTCCCACTGCTCGGAGGTTCTAATGTTTAGCATTAAAGTTTGAGTTCTATTTCTGTTGTTTCTATGTTTTTTAAAGGGGCAGGCCCAGACCATATGTTGCAGGTCGGCCCTGTCCCCGCAATGCTTACATGCGCTGGAGTAAAGCCCCGGATAGCAGTGACTGTACGCCACGGGGTTTGGAAATGTATTAGTTTGAAGAAGGCGCCACGCCACTGCCTGCCATTTGGACAGAGTCCTGTCTGCTGCGGGGTATTTAGCCCTTCCCAGCCTGTAGTGGTTAATCACGTCCCGATAGGCAACCAGCCTGTCTCTGTCCGACCGGCGGAACGAGTGTGCGTCAAAGATGTTGGTGACGTCGGCCCGGTCGGTTAAGCCTCGAGCCGCGTCGTGCGCCTTCTCATTCCCCGGGAGGCCAGAGTGAGCTGGCGCCCACACGATGTGAACTCCCCTAACTCGATCTCCGTGGAAACCGGTCCGTAGAATTTTGAGTGCCTCGGACGATATGCGTCCCCTCGTGTAATTTAAAATTGCCGGCTTGGAGTCGCTTACTATGAATTTGATCTGGGAGGACGAGGTCATTGCCAGTGCAATGGCTGCTTCCTCCCCAACCTCGGATGAAGTCGTGAAGACCGTGCCAGAATTAATTAACTTGCCCTCTCGATCAACTACCGATGTGGCCATGGCGTCGCGACTACTGTAATCTGCGGCATCCACGTAAACCACGTCCTCGAGGTGTGCGAACCTTTTATCTAGTGCTTGTGCTCTGGCCTGCCTGCGTTCCGTATTGTGTTCGGGGTGCATGTTTCTTGGTAATGGTGGGATATGTATATGCACCCTGATATCGGGTGGAATGTCGTGTTTTTCCCCGAGTCTTCCTTCGTAGTTGATATGTAGCGTCTGGAGGATGTGTCTGCCAGTCGGACTCTTGGTGAGCCTTTCCATCTGCGCTATCCTCTGTGCTTCTACAAGCTCGTCTAGCGTGTTGTGCAATCCTAGTGCTTCAAAGCGCTCGTTGGAGGTCGTGATTGGTATGCCAATTGCCTGCTTGTAAGCCCTTTTTATTAAAGCGTTGATTTTGTTGCGCTCATCTGCCTTGAGGTCAAGGAAGGGAGCGACATAGGTTACTCGACTCAGGACGAATGCCTGGACCAGCCTGATTAAGTTGCCCTCCTTCATTCCGTGATGCCTATTGGCTATCCGCGAAATGAGGCGGGTGGTTTGACACACACTTTTTTCGAGTGTTCGGATTGTCTCGATGTTGTGGCCGTTCTCCTGAATTTTCAAGCCTAAGACCCTAATGCTGTGTACTACCGGGATGGGCAGCCCCCCGCAAGCGTATAGATGAATTCGTGGTTTTTCGGTGGTTGCTTCCTTTTTCTGCCCTCTCCGGGTTGGCCGATAAAGGAGCAGCTCCGATTTTTGTGGGGAGCAGCTTAAGCCTTTCGGTTCCACGTACCCTTCCACCGCGTTTATTGCCTGCTGTAGTGTGTCCTGCACGTGCCCGTCGCTGCCGCCAGCCACCCAGAGTGTGACGTCGTCAGCATACAGGCTGTGATTTAGGCCATGTATTTTCTCTAAGAGGCTGGGCAGGCCGATCATAGCGACGTTGAAGAGGAAAGGCGAGAGGACAGAGCCTTGCGGCGTGCCTCTGCTCCCCAACTCCAGCTCGCCAGACTCAACCCCCCCTACTGTCAGGGTGACCGTCCTGTCAGATAAAAAATCCCTGATGTAGTCGTAGGTCCTTTGACCTACCTCCAACTGTTCTAAGTTCTCTAGAATTGCTGCGTGTTTTACATTATCAAACGCCTTTGTGAGGTCGAGCCCCACAATGGCCCTGGTGTCTAGCGGGGAACATTCCTCCCCATCTATAATTTGATGTTGGAGCCTCAGCATCACGTCTTGAGTCGAGAGCCTGGGCCGAAAACCTATCATGGTATGGGGAAAGAGTCCCTTCTCATCCATATACTTGTTTAGTCTGTTTAACACTGTGTGCTCCATCAGCTTCCCCACGCATGAGGTGAGCGAGATGGGCCGCAGGGTCTCCAGATTTAGCTTTTTGCCCGGTTTCGGTATCATGATAACCTTAGCGGTCTTCCATTGTGTGGGGATTTTACCGTCCTTCCAGCACTTGTTCATGTACTTGGTGAGAGCCTCGATGGAGTCGTCATCTAGATTCCTCAGCATTGTGTTTGTTACCCCGTCCGGACCCGGAACGGATTTGGTGCGGAGACCTAGTATGGCTCCCCGCACCTCCGCCGTCGTAACCGGTTGGTCAAGAGTCTCATTCGAGGCTCCAGCGTATGTTCTAAGTTGTTCTTTTGGATTGGTCCCGATGTATCTGTTGCGGACTTCCTTGATTAGGTCATCGTTCGTGCCCTGGTAGGTGTGCAGAATTTTACTTAAATTGTGTTTCTGCGTGGTCTTACTTTTATCTGGGTCGATTAAGTACCTAAGGATATTCCAGGTTCTTGCAAGGCCCATCTGTAGTTCCATACCGTCGCACGTGCTGTGCCAGTTTTGGAGCGACAGCTGGTTTGCGTAGTCCTCTATTGTTTTATTAAGGATCGCTAGACGTCGACGAAGTGCGCGGTTTAGTTTTTGTTTGTTTAACCTTTTCTGCAAGCCTTGCTTCGCTTCCCACATGTGCAGAAGCTTAGCGTCGGCTTGTGTTAGTTCGGCTTCCTCCGGAATGGTCTTTGTTGCTTTCTGTACGCATGTGTGAAGCTGTTCGACCCACGACTCGATGTCCTCAATCTCGTGCGGTTCTGTTTTGTCCTCGCATGAATAACGTTCGGCTGCTCTTAGTTCCCTGAACTCGTCCCACTCGACGATCTTAAGCTGCGTGCCCTTTTTTGGTTTGTGGGGGCCCGCTTCTAGTTTTGTGGCCACTATATAGTGGTCACTTCCTAGATTTTCTTGCGTGTTTAGCCACTCGGCTTCCTTTTTAGCGTTCTTTGTGAATGTTAGGTCCGGCGTGGTGTCCGCACATACGCTGTTTCCCAACCTAGTGGGGTACGCGGGGTCGGTGACCAGAGACAGCCTCTCCTGCTGGGCATCCAGCCAGAGATTCCGTCCTTTGATCATTTCCCGCTTGTATCCCCAGGCTGGGTGGTGTGCGTTGAAATCACCTACTATCACTAGTGTTTGACGCTTTGCAATGTCTAATGTCTTGCGAAACAGGTTCGCGAATCTATGTTGCTTGCGTGGGTTGCTGTATACGTTTAATACAAATAGGCTTCCCATGCCCCTTTTTTGGCTTGAGATGATCTCCACGAGGACGTGGTCCACGGTAGTTATGCCGGTATCGCGCCGTATAACCGGCAGATTACGTCTAACGAGGGTCGCTACTGTTATACGTTTATCGTCCGAGGCCGGTTCCTCCTCACTGTAGTACGGTTTGTACCCCGAAAGTTTAGCCAAAGCTCCCGTTTCTTGCAGGCATATGACGTCTGGCGCCTCTCCTGCTATTTTATTGTCTATGAATTGCTGTAGGTTCCCCCTTTTGCGGCGGTACCCGCGGCAATTCCACTGCCAAATTATGTATTTGTGATTATTCGGTGCCATAATCCTTAAGCTGTGTACTTTCTAGGCTTGTTCTAGCGCTTTCCAATGATACGGGTCTGGCGTAAGGCTTGGTGGATTTCATCGGCCCTGCTCCTCCTCCCCCGCCGGTGAAGCGCGGTGAGGTGGCCTCAATCGCCGTTACCCTAGCGTTAAGTGCTGCGATTTGCGTGCCTATGCTCTCGGCAAATTTCGCCAGCATGGCTTCGAATTTTGTGGTGAGCATTTCGCTCAGCTTCTCCCCGAAATGCTGCAGTGTCTCTGCGTCCCTTTTTTCTGCTCTCTTTGGGAGCCTTGGGATGTTTGTTATTGTTGGGTCTTTCGCCTTACGCTTCGGGGGAGGAGACTCGGGCTCCGAGTTTTCCATCTCGTCACTGGACGAGTCCTCAGCTAGCAGGACCTGTGTGGGTCGTGGTGTGTTTGCCTTGCCCTGGTCTGGCGGTGGGGCCTGCGATTTCGAGGGACCCTGCGTTTCGGGGACTAGTTTGTCGGCGTTTTCGCTTCCTCTTAGTTTTGCCACTTCAGCCTTTAGCTTTGTATTCTCGGCGACTACCATCTCTAGCATTTGCTTGATTTTGGTGAGTTCCCCCTGTTGCTGCCTGTCTGCCTGTTGCGCGCTAGTTTGGTTGCTAATCTTTTTCTTTGCATTCTGCGGAGCCGAGCTGTGGGAGACCGTGCTAGCCCAGCTCACCTTGTTCTGCTTGGTTCCTCCCGGAGTCTCGTGTCGGCCGCCTCGGGATGTCGATCTTGACTCATGTCGGCCTTGGGTGTTAGGGCTCCGGCATCTTGACTTAGATCTTGACCGGCGCTGCTGCCGCTGTCCCGCGTCGTTGTCGCTCCCTGATCCGCGGTGGGGTAGACGTGGGAAGGAGCCCGAACGATCTCTCGTCCCCCTTTCTTTCGTTCTCCCGCCGCCATCGCTGCCACCCAGAACGGACGTCGACTCTGCGTTTCGGTGCCCGCCATATTGACCAGCGCCATTCTGACGTTCTTTTTCTCGCTGTCTCTTCCGTAGTAGGTACGGCGTTTGGAACCGGTTCTTACAGTTTTTGTCTCCAGTGGGGTGATCCCCACAGCACAGGGCACACTTGGGGTCACATTTATGCCCTTCTTGTGGATTCTTTGCACCGCAAGAGCGGCATCTTTTGTCTTCGGGCGTCGGGCAGACGTCCATGCGGTGTCCCACTTTTCCGCAGGTGGAGCACACTTCGTGCTTTTTTTTATGTAAGAAACACCGGTACTCCGCTCCACGGTAATATACATAATAGGGCACTTTGTTGCCCTCAAAGACGATGACCGCCGAGTTGGTTTTTCCCATTCTTTGTGCCTGAAGGATGGTAGGGTTCTTGTTGTAGACAAGGCTGCGCGTAATGTCTTCCGCGGTGTCATAATCTGGGATATTATGTATAACCCCCTTAGCAGTATCCTCTGGTGGCGCCGCGTACGCGGTGACTTCATAGGTCTTGCCTGCGATGCAGATTTTTGAAATGGAGTTATATTTCTTAGCTCGTTCCATGCTTGGTGTGCTTGTCACGATGATGTTTTTCTCCGGGTTGACCCGTAGCAGGTCTCCCTCGGCTTCCTGCTCTTTGAGACCGATGGCGCAAAATACGCCGTCGCGTAGCCTCGCGGAGCTCACCTTGGTAACATCGAGGCCCTCTCGTGGCCGCAGAATGATTTTTATGTCCTCGCGTGGGAGGGCTGGTTGCTGACGCTGTTTCCTGTGTCTCTGAAGTGGTTTTCGGTTTCCTGTCCGACCACCTGCGTCGTTTTTGGCTGTGCTCGTCGCCGTGAGGCCTAGCTTGTTGAGGGCTCGTGTGCCCCGTTGTCGGTGGCTCACGAGCCAGCCGGCCTCTGCTGTACACTCTTCCGGTGAGATGTCCTCACCTGCCACTTCGACGTAATCCATCTTGGGTCTCGGTGCCTTGGGGAGGGCTCCGCCCCCGCCGCTGGCCTGCTGCAGGTGCCGTATTCCTCGTTAGGGTTAGTGGGGCGCCGGCCCGTCGGTAGGAGGAATTGGCTGAACAAGGCCAGGCGGTGGTCCGATTTCCATAAACGTGGTGTCCTCGGGTAGCAAATACCTTTAGGCACCCGGTGTTGTGGTTCTTGCTGGAAGGTTTGGGGTATTTTTCGCCTTTGAAGCTGATTGTTCGCAGAGCGCCGATCGAAGCTGTGCACGCTCGCGCCCTTCGCTTCTTCTTCCGATATGGGGAAGAACAAATATATCACTGAGTTGTTAATCAGCGCTGCGAGTCCGTTTCCTTCTTGTGTGTCTGTGAGTGTGACTGTATCCGCGCTGTTCCATCCAAGCATGAATAACCAACTAGCCAAAGCATCCACATTATCAAGCCATCATCAACCTCGAGGCTTGTAGTAGGCGGTAGATTGCACCACCTATATAATGAATGTTGCCAATGGAACAGAATTTCGAAATACTGCGCAAATACAAAACTAATGATAATTGTAATGCGTCCTGGTTTTATTAAAGAATTGTTTGATCAAAACTATAGTTAAAAGATGTCCTAAACTTTCGCAACTACGTGTAATAATTTGTATGTGAAACTTAGTTGAGCACTGACCGTGAACTGTGTATACTACCGCCATTTTATTAATTTTTTTAACGCAATCAAATTGAGGACGTATATATTATTATCTCTAACTTTGTATCCTTCAACCTCAATAAGTCCTCAGAAGGACGTTTCTAGGATGATCCAGCGACTGACGTTCTCAGGATGTCCTGAGAACGTCTTGAAAATCGTGAGGACGTTTGTACCTTTCGAAGACGTCCTGAGGATGTCGGGTGTTGTCTGGGTACGTCTTGTTTCTCCAAAATTTTGTATAAAATCATGCGATCCTCGGGTGTCCTTTGATGTTATAATATTTTCACGGGTGACTGTGTTCCTAAAATTCTGGAGGGGGCATTAGTGGCCTGGTGGGCTAGCGCACACACGCTTGGAGCACGAGGAGCGAAAGCTAGCGCTGCAGAACCCACGAATACTGAGTTCAATCCCCACCTCTGCCCGTTTCCATCTGGATGAGCTTCGTACCGCCGTGCGGTCGCGTATCACTACTGCATGATGCACGTTAAAGACCCCAGGTTAGTGGTTGTACCGACCTAGCTGAAGTTCCATTTCTCATCTACAGCTGAGAGACAAGTCGCTCGTTGAGGCAGACTGAGGGTGCCTTCATGTGCGTTTTGCTTAGGGGGGACACATCTGGTCATTTTGTCCCACATTTTTATTTTTATTTTTTGTTCAGAAGCGCGTGAAAAAGTGTGTCTCTACCTGCGTTTGTGGCGCTGACTGTGCTATGGCAAAATTTCCTTCTCGTCGATTTCCTTGTATTTTCCCCATCAGCGCGTGCTGTCGGCATCGGGTACTACAAAGGGTGGCATCACCCTATACAGAAGGACATTGAGGCACCCTAGGCAGACTAAGTTCAGGCTGTAGGAACGTAACCACACCACAACTTTATTTTCATTCTGGAACTGATGTTGCAAACGTCGGTGCGCGTGTCTGTTGGTTGCTGTTCTTGTCGTCTGCTTCAGGTTCGTATGTAATTGTCACATCAATGCTAAAAAACTGGCTGTAGCATCAGCAGTGCTTCGATCGGTGGGGGCGTTTCGATTGCTGCTATTCGTGGCTGGTTTTGAAACCCCCCCCCATGCTGGAGCATTCCAAAACAGACATGGAACAGCATCTTTTTTTTTAATTACCACTTGATCGTGGCAATTGGCATCGTCTGCTCATCGATGACGTGCAAGTAATGACGATTAGTGTTGTCAGAATAAAATTAAAATTCGCACACAGCTTTTTTTTTTTTTATGTGAGCGGGAATTTTTGTTTTGGGGGATCGCGTTTCGCTATACTTCCAGGCGCCAGCACCCTTCGGAACTGTAAAGAGGTTGCGTTTCTCTACGCTTTTCGACACCTGCGGGGCGTACCCGCTGCGACAGCCAGGAGCGTAGCAGGTCGGCATGCTTGCTCGTTGATCGGCGAACGACTCAAAGTTCCCGGCGCCAGAAAATATCACTTGCAAGACTACGACGAGCCACAGATGACACAAACGAAAACACGAAGAACAACAACAAGCGCGAGTCACCGCCGAGAACCTAAAGCCTCTTCATGTTTCAAAAGTTGCGCAAGATGCGTCCATGCACGAGGCATGTGCAACGTGCAGCCCTTGGGAACATCATGGCGGCACAGCGCAGCACTGAGCTAGATTTCAGACGCCATGAATTTCTCAGAAGTGGCGCGCGGAACGTGCCTCGAGCATTTCTACAACAATGAATGGCGCCACTTTTCCCAGGATAGAAGAGCTTCACCGAAAACCGACTTTAGGTTTAATCTTAGGACGACTACAGCGCCACCCCTCGCAAGCTTTACGAGATGGTGTCACGCCGGGTATTGAGTTTCCAAACTTACCCCCTTTACTAGCGGCGAGATGTTTTGGTGGCACTAAAGCCCCTTGATAAAAGCGTTTTTTACAAGTACCGCCAACCATTGTTGTGGAAGCGCGCGAGACGCGTGTCATGAGCGGGTGCTCCGCTGCCATTCGCTTCCAAGGCCCGCTCATTTCAGTTCAGTGCTGTGCCGCCATTTGCTTCCAAGGGCCGCTCGAGACATGGGCCTCGTGCAGTCGCGCATTTGACGCTACTTGCAAGGCGAACGCAAACACATCGA